CATTTCTGTGAATGGCTAATTTTCCTTGTTTTATATGATCACTCTCATCCTATATCTAGTCATTACCATGGGCCAGTGAATCTGAACTTTGTGCAGATCAACTTCTTTCTTATCCGATAAACTGGCTATAATGCTTTTTTTTTTTTCCGTATCATGATTTTGAATTAATGCTAAATTATTTTTAAACACTTAGATCGCTTGGAGCTTTCTCTATAGATATTTATATTTGGAAACATCTCTTTTTGTAGACATTCAGAAATCAGATTGTCTTAGTTTAGTAAATGGGATCTGTTTTTATCTAGGACTTGGAACTGCTTTAATTGTGTTTTTTTTGAGTTTGGTGTTTGTGATAGCCATGGGAATGCACTTTGCAGATCTCTAACCGTAGGGAGCTTAACTGACCAAGGGCCTTTGCTGCTGGGCTTTGAAATCCATTCCTACATTTGAACCAAGGCAAATTCCATGGGCTTCTTGCAGGCAATGATTTACCAAAGCAAGAATACTAAGGAAGGCTGGTTTCTGGGATATCTGAGACTCCTGATGGCTGATTTTTGGTTTAAGGACTATGATAGTCAGTTCTCCAGAGAAACAGAACCAATAAGATGTATATATATATAGAGAGATGTATACACACACACTCCACACTCACATATTTGTGTGTGTGTGTGTGTGTGTGTGTGTGTGTGTGTATGTTGCAGCTGGAGTCTGAAGGCAGCCTCTCTAGAATTTCTTCTTCCTTGGAAGACTTCAGTCTTTTCTCTCTTAAGACATTCAACTGATTGGATGAGGCCACCCACATTATGGAGGGCAAGCTGCTTTACTCGAAGTCTACTGATTTAAATATTAACATTATCTTAAAAAAAATACCTTTGAACTTCCCTGATGGCACAGTGGTTAAGAATCTGCCTGCCAATGCAGGGGACACGGGTTTGATCCCTGGTCCGGGGGAGATCCCACATGCTGCAGAGCAACTAAGCCCGTGTGCCACAACTACTGAGCCCATGTGCCACAGCTACTGAGGCCTGCATGCCTAGAGCCCGTGCTCCGCAACAAGAGAGGCCACCGCAGTGAGAAGCCAACACACCGCAATGAAGAGTGGCCCCTGCTCGCCGCAACTAGAGAAAGCCTGCGTGCAGCAACAAAGACCCAACGCAGCCAAAAATAAATAAATAAATAAGAAAATAAATAAATTTATTTAAAAAAAATTACCTTCACAGCAACATCTAGATGGCTGTTTGATATAATATGTGGGTGACCAAATATCTGGGTACCTTGCCCTAGGCAACTGACACACATCTTAAGTAAATCACTAAAATACGGGCTTAAACTATATTTTCGGCAACAAGGATGAGATGATGATAGCATTTCCCTAAAGGGTAAATTTCTGGATTTCAAACTGAAAAACTGTCTCCTCCCACTAATGAAAGAAGATGCAATTTTTTACTTACTTGGAATGTATTCAGTGGTGACATAGGACTCTCAGGCTATAAAGCCTGCCTTGGAATTGGAAACTCGTATACAACGTTATGATGATGGTATACATACATATTTAAGTTTTAAAAATACAGAACAGAGAATTATAGTACACATACTTTAATTAGATCTGGGCTTCTTGACAGTAGAGAAGGTGAAAAATCTATAAATATTTCAGTGCATATGAACTCTTTCCTAGTATGTTTTAAGTTATGCAGCAGGAAGACCTTTGGAGGAGCCAGAAATATAAAAATAAGTGAGGTGCTTCCCTGGTGGTGCAGTGGTTGAGAGTCCGCCTGCCGATTCAGGGGACATGGGTTCGTGACCCGATCCGGGAAGATCCCACATGCAGGGGAGTGGCTGGGCCCGTGAGCCATGGCCGCTGAGCCTGCGCGTCTGGAGCCTGTTCTCTGCAACGGGAGAGGCCACAACAGTGAGAGGCCCGCGTACCACACACACACACACACACACACACACACACACACACACACAAAATAGAAAATAAAAATTTTTAAGAGAAATAACTTAGTCTATACAATAAGTGAACTTCCCTTTGGGATTACTTTCTGAGAGTTTTCTTTGCTAATCCACATTCCAAATAGCCAGAAGCAGAATCCCATGCAGTTTCCAAAACTCATTTGTTCTGGTCACGATTTGTTTTGAGAATGTTGATTAACATTTCCTTTTGAACACTGAGTTGTGAAACTTTTGTATTACAATGACCTAATCAATGATTCTCAAGTTAAAAAAATATCTGATGCCTTCTCACTCTAGGTAGGCTCTATCTGAATTGGGAGACAGAATAGGCAATTTGGAAAGACCTCTTGGGGAATTCTGTTCAGCTGAGAACTGCTGGCTTATGAATAGTAAATTATTAATATTTAAATCTTACATTCCAAATTTCTATTTTTCAAGACCAAATTCCATGGACCTAAGGAAAATATAAAGCTAAATAAAGAGAATTATGATAAATCAATATGCTTGTCAAATTTATCCAGTGTAGTTCAGCTATGCTTTATTTGCAAAAGAAAAACTGACACACTTATTACTCTGCTGTTCCTTGGTAAAGTGGGCTTGGATGATGATGATGATTATTTTTATCATCATTATTATTTTGAGCAAGATAAAAAAGTGATGGTGATCTTCTTGAGTTATATAATCATCTAACTTCCAAAGCACTCACAAAACTGAGCAAATAAAGCCAGTATCTGCATATTAGGGGAAGGAAACATATTGCTAATGGAAGACACAGGCCTAGTCAAAAATAAATGTTTTATATCAAGTGGTAAAATAAAAGAGGGATTCTACCCCAAGACCACCACCTCGATAAGGACCCATGAGTTACTGCAGCTGCAAGGGAGGGTCCATCAAAGCCACCTCAGTAAATAGCAGCCTAAAAAGCAGATGTTTTGGCACATCATGACAAGCCCCCACCCCACCCCACCCTATCATAGCCATTTGCTCTCCAGAGATGGTCTAGAGTTTCTTGCAAGGGAGAGATGCACTGGCAGGGCCACCTCCCAATTCCAAAACAGGGAGAGGTAGTAGCATGGAGCTGGCCTGGGGCTCTGACTTTCTGAGGGTGGACAAGTAAGGCATACAGACAGAGCCCTTGCCTGAAGAATAATCAGATTTATCTGTGAAAAACAGATTCAGTGAGACAAAATGTTGTTAAATTTTAACTTTGGCCCTAAAATGATAGAAATACCAAAGTTAGGTGATACACCAAAATGTGTACTTTCAAAGTAAATGTCCAAGAAACAACTGACCTACAATAAAGACATAAAAGCATTGATAGCATAGAGCAGGGGTTGGCAGCCTTTTTCTGTAAAGAGCCAGATGGTAAATATTTTAGGTTTGTGGGCTGTATGGTCTCTGTTGCAACTACTCAACTCTGTGGCAATGCAAAAGCAGCCAAAGCCAATACTTACAAAAATGAGTGTGGCTGTGTTCCAATAAAACTGTATTTAAAAAAAGACAGGCTGCATTTGGTCTACGAGCTGTAGTTTGCCCACTGCTGGCACTGAGGAAGAGAAGTTTTATGAAGAGGTTCTTTTGGTGAAAGTTCTCCCAACCACCACGAGAACCTCATCCTGAGCCTAGAGGGGGGCTTAAGAGGACCACGTGGAGTGCTTGATGCATCCTCTTGACTTTAAGGGGCATGTTGTTCCCAAGACTGGAAGTTAGCTGCACTCCCTACCAATGGTAGAACAAACATCCATGAGTGTTTCTCATGCACCCCAGGTAGATCATGGGGGAGAGAGCATCTGCCTAAGCTGGTTTAATTTGAGTTCAAAAGGATCACCTGGGAAGGTAAGAGGACTCCAACAGAGACCATTCTCTTTAGAGTAGAACGAAACCTGGAGCAGAGTGGGAAGTGGCCCCAGAGGAAAAAATGCAACTGGACATTCTCATCTCTAAATTGAGACTGTGTTTGAGCAGAGGATTTTTTTATGCCAAGAGTGAATTGGTAAGTTATGAAGCTGAAATGTCATGCAGGAGCAAAGGAAAAACCTCCTCCAGTGAAAAAATTTGAATGGGATTGTAAAGACAAATCAAATAGCATTTCTTGTTTGTTTTGTTTTATAAATATTTTATAACAGAAAACTTCAAAAGCACAGTCCAAAGAAGAGAGAAGAGTCTGATGAACTCCCATGTCCTCATAATGCTGCAATTATTAACTCCTGTCGAATCTTGTTGCAACTATACTGCCCATCTACTCTCCTTCCACCATCCCCATACCCCATACACAGAATTACTTTGAAGCATATCCAATGTCTGTATTTCCTTTAAATTGGAAGTAAGATCCAGAGGGTTGATCAGATTCAGTTTCAATTATTTGGTGAGACTGTCTCACAGGTGTTGTGTGCACTCCTACAGGACTTCCAGGCCCATGATGTCTGGTTCTCTCTCAGCAATGGTAATATTGATCAGGATTTAGGACAGTTTGATTCATCCGTTATAGTTCTTTATCAGCTTTTTATCAGTTTTAGCAACCACTGATGATTTCCATATCCATAATTTTATTAGGAAAAATTACATTTTGATTACCTCTCACTGGTTGTGCATAGGCTATATGTACACATGCTAGAACACTGGGATCCCCTGGATTGGAGACTCATTAGTCTTTTCATAAGAGTCCTTTTTATTCATTAGCTTTGGAATTTTGGTGTATTTTTGTTTGTTTGGAGGTCTATGAGTTTATCAGCTGTAGAAACAAAATTCATTTTTGCTCAACTGCCTGCTACTGCATGAAAAGGAAGCCTAATTCTCCAGCCTACTTACTTTGGTAAGATCTGCAGACCTCTATGGGTATGACTTCAGAGAACTGCTTGGTCCTCTCCTTTGAAAGACCCTTCAGTGCCAAGTACATGGTACCTTTCTGGTCTGCCTGGTAGGAATAAATGTTTATGTTGAGAGTTTTCACCTGTTTTTGTGAAACGGTTTCCCAGATATTGTAATGTCTTGGTACCATAACTATTGTTTTTCAATTCTGAAAAAATTTTCACCTTTAAGAAGAAAGTAGACAGTCTTCCTCAATCCATGCCTTGGTTGGTTAATTGAGGGAAGTGGAGGGATTCTGTGTGGCTGAATGATTACATTCACCGCTCCTAAATCCATCCATAGCTCCTTATTTTGCCCTCGATGGTGTTGTCCAAGCCAAGGTAGATATTTGATAGTTTCCACATCTCTCATTCCTTCCTTTTCCACCACAGTCTATTTGGGACTCACAACATGCTTAAGAGGAAATATAAATATTGTATGTACAGGGCTGAAAAGTCAGAGGCTGTATCTATAAATTTGCCAATTTAAAGTATAGATCTTGGGTCTAAAAAAATTAAGTGCTTTTGTGTCCACATTACTGGAGGGAGAAGATCAAACTCTTAAATAACCTCAATGTCATAAGCAAGTGGGCCTCCAAGGGAAAACCCCAGGTAAAAAGATACTTTTTCTATGCTTCTACCACTTCTAAGTTGACCAAGAAAAGCAGGTGTGATGGGTATTGTGACTTTTTCATTTATTCCATATTCTATGTATAAACAATTATTTTCAGCTCTTCCCTTTAACCGAAGCAAAAGTTCTCGGACTTTTTCCTCCTTCCATACATCTCCACTCTGCCACAAGGAATTAATATCAGCTGTCTTTCTAAAACATTGATCGATTTTTCCTTTGTGAACAAGTCTGTTCATATTGTTACCTTTCCCAAGAAAGAAATATGCAATTGGTTGCTTTGTACGATACATATGCTTATATTGCCCCCTGAAAGAATTTTCCAGTGACCAAGCATACTTTTCCATTTGTTTAGAATCTTGATCTAGTTGTTGGTTTCCTGGCCAGAATAACAGGGAAGCTAGGAAATAAGGTTCTGAAAATCGATAATTCGTTCCTGCTTGTTGCAAGACTTCTCGAAGCTGATCTTTCAGTTTTTTAACTGGCTTCACTATTTTGGAGGTAGGTTTAATACAGTAGAGAATGATGTTGGCCAAGATGAAATTTTGCTTTTCCTTTTGCAGGATTCTGACAGTGCACTGCTCAAAGAGAAAAGTATATTTGTTAATTATATCTTCCATGGTGCGTATAGCATCTTCTTGAGTTTTGATAAGATATTCCAAGAGCCCAGAAAACTTGTCTGCTTTTAGAACTTCTAGGCTTCTCCGATACAGCTCTACTTGAAGTGGCAGACTAAGCTTTGGTCCAAGATCTTTGTTCTGTGATTCCTCTGAGGGACCGAATATATCTGCATACTTCTTAAAATATCCAGCCACCTTTTTCCGAGTTTTGGCCTCTTCATTTTGCTTAATATTGTTCCTGGGTTTTAGAAGGACAAAGTAATCATCAAAAAAATCAAAGGACTTTTTCAAAGAAAATTTCAAATTGGTTAGATAAGGAATAAAGTTCTTGAGGACTACTTTAAATTCATTGCTTGGATCTCCAGGAATATCATTATTTCCTGATATAAAATTGATCATATCTCTTTTAGATAGTTCACTTTTATTGTCAAAAAAAGGAATGAGCTGGAGAATCTGGATTGTGTAGAGCCCAACTTCTATCTCCCCTTGATACCCAGCTATATTGTAAGTATCATACCGCCTTTTTGACTTCTGATAAAACCTTTCCTTTGCTTCATACTCTCTATCCTCACTTTGCTGTTGAGATTCTTTGAATGCATTTGAGGCATGCACTGCTAAATCCAAAAGATCAGATAGATCATCAACTGAAATGTTCCTGTTTCTTACATTATCCTCTAACCACCATCTAATTTTACTTTTGTACACTTGACCCAGTGTATCTGAGATATAAGAATTGTCAGGTTCTATCTTTTTTGCTTTATTTGCCCAACATAGAGCACTGCTAAAGTCCTTCTCTTTAATGTAGAAATGTCTTGTCAAGGCTTGGCAAATGAATGCATTTGGGTTGAACCGATGAATACCTTGAAGTAATACATTTTTAACTGCCACATTCCCTTCATCTCTATGTAATGCTTCAATGAATGGGGAAAACCAAGTTCCTGTTTCACCTTCATGTTCGTTGCGCTGTCTTGTGAGCAGCAGTGTTTGCATATCTTCTAAAAATTTGCTTTTTCCTATACCAGTATCATAGAACACATTTTCTGTTAGCATATCCAGCATGATTTGACTTTTATCTAAGTTATAGCTTATCTTCAATTCTTCCAGTGAGCGAATGGCAATCAAAGGGTGAATAATGCGTACTCCAGAGTAGTTCCCACATTCTACCACCTCTGTTTTTATTAGAATTGTAGAGTAGGTGCCCATCTTGTCTTCAAGCTTTTCTGTTCCCCAGAAAGCTTTCTTGTTTGTGATTCCTAAGAACTTTTCACACTGTGATAGTGAAATGGTGGTATCAGGCACATATGAATTAAGAACAGCCAGAAAAGAAAAGAGCTTTGCTTCCTTGGTGGAAGTATTTTGTCCTTTCAGAATATTCCTGACCACATTTTCTATGTACTTTTTATTAAAGTTAGTTTTCATAATCATGAAGGAATAAAAATCTTTAAAGTTTTTATGTTGCTCTTCAATTTCTTTCAGTTTAAGCTCAAAAGCTCTCTGTTCTTTGGGAGATAGTTGTTGTATTAGGGCAATACTGTCTGAGATCTTTGCACTTTTTTCAGGATTCTGTGATCTCCTGCAATTTAGGATGATCACTAGAGGCCTCTCATATCGAATATACCTATTAGCTACAGCTGTCTGAATAGAGGCCCGCAGAAGATAGACATTATCTTGTTCTTCAAAATCATCAACAAGCAGTAGTACAGGTAAGTATTCCTGATTATTTGTTGTCCCATAGGTTATTAAATTAGTCACTTGTTCTCCAATTTCAGAAAAATCCACTGTCTTGTTTTTCAGCACAGCACATCTGAATTTCTTCCTTAGTTCCCAGAGAATATGCATGGCCAAGGTAGTCCCACCACAGCCTGGATGATGAAACAGATGAATAATTTTGACACATGTTGGCTTAGAAGAATCTGCCCAGTTTTGAATAATTTCTTCAAGTCTTTCATATTTATCCCTTTTGACAAAAGGGGAAGAATAGTTTTCAGAAGAAAAGTAGAAGTTCCACCATGATACTTTGCCACCTCGATAGAAGTCTTCCTCTTTTGATGCTTTGAATTCAAGTAATTTTTTTTTGTCCTTCTCTAAGAGTGTACCTTCACATTCATTTTCACAGAGAATTTCCAGAGCAGTCATGATATCTTCTTCTTTTTTCAGAAGGACAGTAGATGAACCAATAGATGGTAAAAATCTCTTTGAAGATTGAGTCACAGATTTTAGCTTAAGAATAGTTCCATTTATCTCTTCAAGACTTAAAGCAGAAACACAATGGCTTGATAATTCATCTTGCTGTTTTGTTAATCTTGCTTCAAGTAGATCTTTCCATCCCTGACATATGCGTGAATGTGTGCAAATACACAATATATTTTCCATTCCTTTGAGATCTTGGTAGAAAGCACAGAAGGTCTCAATGAGGGGGTCTCTTGGGTCATCCACAGAGGAGAGTAATAGAAATACCACCAAAAACTTCCCTCTTGGCATTATGTCTTCATGTGTAAGAAATGAAATCAGTTTCCTGACTTCAGATGCTTTTTCTCTTTGCCAGGAACTTGGATCTAAGGGTTTATATTTTTCACTGTCAAGGTCTAACCTGCCATTGCAGAAAATCCAGCTGAGTTGTTGATAAAGATTCAGACTAGTAATCTTCTCATCTGTAGTTTTCCCTTCCACATATAAACTTGGGAAGTGAAGGTTTGCTACTCGGGTTTCTTTGTAAGCTTTGACCACACCCTTGCTCACAGATTCAGGATCAAACTCCAACACAGCAAACCATTTAATTTCCTTTAGGAAATCTAAGTGTTTCATTTGCGTTGGATGGCATTTATTTATTACAAGAATGTACCATTCATAGTAGGAATTATCTAACAAATCCTGATTTCCTGTCAACAGTTTAACAAGCTTTGGTCCCTCACTCTCTTTTTTATTTGTTTTTACTCTGCATTTTTCTTCTGCTTCTTTCCTAGATTCTGCCAGTCTTTTTAAATCTAATTTAAATGATGTGAAATATGCATTATTTTTCATCATGTCCTTAGAACTGGCCCCATCGCGCACAAAGACTGAGAATTTTGGACTTTGTGTCCATGTCTTCTTGCTGCAATTTTGCATTTTAATCTGGAAATAATCATGTTCACATTCAGAATATTTTGGAACAACATCCACTTCAATAACAAATCTGTCAGATGGAGTACTATTTGGCATTAAAACTTCTACAAATCTTGGCTCTCGAATGCAATTCTTTGCTTTTTGGACCTGATGGTCTTCAAAATATTTGTGGATCATCAGATTGAAATGGTCAATGAGGGCTTCCTTGGTGACAGTGGTGACTTCCACGCCAACAATTTTTCCATGGGGTTTGTCCTTGACTCCAAAATGAATGGTGCCATTGGTACGTGAATTCATACAAGCTGAAGCAAACCGGAAAACCTCATTGCTAAATTTCATCTTAACATCCTCTTCTGTGGCTGTTTCTGTATTCGTGAAGCATTTGAATTCATGTATTGGATCAATGAGATTGAGTGGTCCTGTTTCAGGCTGTAGATTAAAATTTAATTTGTAACGATATGGATCACTGAATTCATCAAAAGGGTATGATACACATGTTGGTTCTATGGATGGCTGCTCTTCCTCTGTGTCATCTATTTCATCGTTCATGAACTCATGTTTTAGTGACTTAGAACCTTTAGTAACTGTACTCATTGTAGAGTCATTAACCATGTCTGATTTCTCTTTCTCCTTTTGTTTTTGCTTTGAAGTTTCTCCATTTTTCTCCTGTTTTTTAGGAACATTTTTACTGCCTTTCCCCCTCTTACTTGTCTGAAAAGGATCTCCAGAGGATGTTTCCAGCAACTCTTTGAAGAGATGTTCTATTTGGATAGCTGGTCCAAATGTTATGCCCATAGCAACAAGGTCATCTTTAGTTAAGTACTTCAAGTTTGCGCCATTCACATCTTGTGCAGTCAAAATTTCCCTGTGTTTTTGGTCAATTTTATGACTTTCTAACCACCGATTTACATCCTCTTTTGTCCATTCATCTGTATTATCTGGTAAGTTAAGTTGTGCTGCCATTCTGATACCTATGTATAGAAAAAGAAAAATTATTTAGTATTTTTATAAGTAAATTTTAAAAATAATCAGTTAATTTTTCAATAGACAATATGTACATGTCTTATAAAACTGAAAAAGCTCAAAAGGATATATAGTCCATCTAATTACCCTCCTGAGAGGAAATTACCATTATCAGTTTCTTCTATATCCTTTCAGAGAAATACTACCAAATACAAAAGCATAAACACTTTTTTCCATTCAAATGGCAACATACTATACTCAATTCTCTTTGCCTTGCTTTATTCACTAACTGTATCTTGGGGATGCTTCCAGTCAATATATATATAGAGAGAGATGTTTCATCCTTCTTAATGGTTGTTTTCTATAATGTGTGTTAGCTCTATTGTTTATAAATATTCAGTTCTGCTATAGAAAATAAGAAAAACAAAGGAGGCTATATGAAACTAAAGAGAGAAGGATTATGATATGAGGAGGATATATGAAACAAGGTATAGAAGCAAGTAGTTTGTGAAACATGATAGACATAGATAAAGTAAATAGAGCATATGAGCATTAAACATAGGAAGAGAAAGAAGGGCCAAATAGATATTAAATATTCATGTGGCACACTTGAAGCACTTTATATTTTTGACATCTTAATTGGGCCACCTACTGTTGACACCCATTCTGATCCTTTGTATACTCTAATTAAAAGACATAAATAAAATCCAGAGTAGCTTATCAGGCTAACTGATGAGTTAGAGCTGTGGTCAGGCATATATGCCCCCTGCATCTCTCTGACTGGAGCAAGTGTATGTCACTGACACAGGTGTCTTGTATCTGTTGATTCCTCTTGGACAGACCTCAACTCTGGTTCTCAAAATCACACAATCAGTGGAGAATGCTGATACTGCAGAGAGGGAGAGAGAGGATATATGAACTTGTATAACTCAGGTAATGAGATCCTTCCACCCCTCTTGTACCTTATCCAAAGTGTGTTACCCATCTCTTTCCCCCTGCTTTTTGTTGTGTATTTTAATTGATTTAATAAAGATGTGCCTCAAATACCTTAAATTGATCTGTGAGCCATTCTGTTCCATGACTTCTGGGATAGCTTGCTGGGTAGTGAACTTGGGGGCTACTATTATATCCATGTAAATTTTCACATAATATTTGGTAATAGCTAATTCCTGGGCAGTAAAAAATGGCATTACTATTTGGTATTCAGATTGAAAGACTACTCTTTAGGAAAATTATTGGCAATCTGGGTTGCAGAAATATAGCAATGGTTAGAAAAAAACACAATGGAATCCAGATAATAATAGTCAGCTTTAAGTACAGTCCAAAAATGGCTCAAATAATGTGAGCCATTTCTATAAAATCACCATGGGCGAAATCAAATCAACAGAGAAGATAAGCCTGGAGAATAGTGGAAAATAGACTATATAGGCACACTTCCATGAAATAATACACAGGAATATTACCTACCAGTGGTACATAAAAAATCAAGGTTAGGATTTACCTTCCCGTCCAGGCATAAAGCTGCCAGAGCAATTGTCCAATGTTAAAGCTATTATTTTTTGGTTATTAACTCCTGAATTCATATTAAGTGAATAAAAGATATATCTTACAGCTACATTAAAACAAAAATAGGCAAAGATATGCATAACTGATGGAAATTTTACTCTATTACAATACTATGACAATCAGAAACCATGGAGATTTAATGCCTTCTAAAAAAAGTGAACTAGGTGAAATTTCTTTCAGTTATTTGGCCTGTAGAGATTAAGAAGCTCAAATTTAAAATAAGCTAGGGAGAGAGAAAAGAGTGGAGGTGGGAAATTGCTTTAAGTGTACTACTTTTTAAAGTAAGCCCCTTTTGTGGGACCATATCAAACTTAGAAACTATGCATTGAAGGACACAATGAACAGAATGAAAGGCAACTTATGGAATGGGAGAAAATATTTGCAATATTTTCAAATCATAGATCTGATAAGGGGTTAATATCTAAAATATATTTTAGAAAACTCCTGCAACTCAATGACAAGACAAATAACCTGATTAAAAGTGAGCAAAGGATTTAGACATTTCTCCAAAGATGATATACGAATGACCAACAAACATATAAAAAGATGTTCAACATCACTAATCATTAGAGAAATACAAACCTAAAACACAGTGATATATCATTTCACGTCTACTGAGATGACTACTATTTTAAGAAACCCCAGAAAATAACAAGTATTAGTGAAGATGATGTGGAGAAATTGGAGGAACCCTTGTGCACTACTGGTGGGAATGTAAAATGATGCAACCTATACAACCTACCTTAAGAGAATGGTTAAAGGAAGTTTTCTAAACAGAAAGAAAATAATAAAAGAAGGAACCCTGGTACATTAGGAAGAAAAAAGAACACAGTAAGCAAAAATATTGGTAAATATAATAGACTTCTCTTTGGTTTTCAAAATTACTTTGATTTTTGAAGCACTGGCTGATATGGTTCTAAATGTATGTAGTGAAAATATTTAAGACCATTATATGTGGATAGGGTAAAGGGATACGAAGGGAAGTAAGATTTCTATGCTTCACTCAAACTGGTAAAAAAAACACTGTTGGACTGTCATAAGTTATGTATGTATAATGAAACATCTAGAGCAATCAATAAAAAAGCCATACAAAGTGATACACTCAAAAGTGATATACTCAATTCCACTAGATAAAAGTGGAATTGTAAAAAAACTTTCAAGTAACCCTCAGGACATCAGGAAAATAAGATAGAAAATTGAAAATCATAAGTCCTAACATATAAATAATTACATTAAATATAAATGGCCTAAATACAGAAGTTAAAAGACAGAATTGGTAAAGTGGATTAAGAACATGACCCAACTATATCCTGTCTGTAAGATGCTCACTTGATATAAAATTATATAAATAGGTTGAAAAGTATGGATAAATATATATAATACAAATATCAATCAATAAATACAGGAATGATTATGTTAATGTCAGATAAAGTAGACTTCAGAGAAAAGAAAATTACCAGAGACAACGGCATATTACATAATGATAAAATGTTCAATTCAACAAGATGACATAACAATCCTAAAAGTGTATGTGCCAAACAAGAAAGTTTCAAAATGTTTGAAACAAATACTGACAGAACTTTTCAGTTTTAGACAAATCCACATTTATAGCTGGATATTTTGACACCTTTCTCTCTATAATTGAAAGAAAAATTAGAATGTTAGTGAGGTTACAGAAGAACTCAACACCATCAACCAACAGGTACCAAACCACATTTATAGAACACTCCATTCAACAACAGCAGAAAATCTTCCTTTTTAAGTGCCCAAAATAGACCATAACCTAAATGATAAAACAAGCTTCAACAAATTTAAAATAACTGAACTCATACAGAATATGTTTGCCAACCACAATGGAATCTTATTAGGAACTGATAACAGAAAGATAAGAGGAAACTCACTAAACACTAAAACTACACTCCTAAATAATTCATGGGCCAAAGAAAAGTCTCAAGTGAAATTAAAAAAATACATTGCAGTGAATGAAAATGAAAATACAACATACCAAAATTTGTGGTACATGGTTAAAGCGGTATTGAAAAAATTGTTGCAATAAATGCATACATTAGAGAAGAAATGTCTCAAATTAATAATCTAAGATCTTACTTCAAAAACTTAGAAAACCTTGAAAAAGAAAAGTAAAATAACTCAAAGCAAGCAGAAGGAAAGAAATAATAACGATAAGAGCAGAAATCAATTAAATTGAAAACAGAAAACAATGGAGAAAATCAATGAAACAAAATCTGCTTCCTTGAAAGATCAGTAAAATTGACAAAACTCTAGCAAAACTGGCAAAGAATAAAAAAGAGAAGACACAACTTACCAATATTAGAAGTGAAACAGTGGATATAATTTTGAACTGCATAGACATCAAAAGGGAACAAGGGAGTAGTATGAATAACTTCACACACACAAATTTGACAACTCAAATGAAATAGAACAATTCCTCAAAAAACAAACTTCCACAGTCCATTCAGTATGAAACAGATGATTTGAATAGTCCCATACTTTAAATAAAACTGGATTTTTAATTTTAAAGATCTCCCTACAAGGAAAAATTTCCAGGCCAAGACAGATTCACTGAAGAATTTTACCAAACATTTAAAGAATTAATGCTGATTTTATATAATCTCTTCTAGAACACAGTAAAAGACAGAATACTTCCCAATTCATTTTATGAAGCTCGTATTACCCTACTAGCAAAGCCTCTGCAAACCCAGCCTTCAGGTGAGCTCCCATGGACCAAGACTCCTGCCTTGCCCCAGTGCCAAGCCAGTCCCTGAGGCCCCAGGCTCAAAGCAGTCTCCTGAAGATCCAGGCTCCTGCCTCACTACAGTGCAAGGCCAGCTCCCATAGACCCAGACACTTTGCCTGCCCTGGTGCTGGGTTGGGTTCCAAGGACACAGACTCCAGATTGGTTCCTATAGACCCAAGCTCCCGGCTTGCCCCAGCCTCCAGGTTGGCTCCCAAGGACCCAGGCACATGGCCAGCCCCAGTGTCAGGCTATACCTCATGGACCCAACCTTCAGGACAGCACCTGTACCCCAAGGCTATAGGCCAACTCCTGTGGCATCAGAATCCAGGCCCACCACCAGCACTTCAGGGGCCAGGTCCACCGCATGGACCCAAATGCCAGCCTACCTCTGTAGACCCAAGCACTAGTCCAGCCCAGACATTGACCCAGGCAGCTGACCTTCCCACCTGAGGATCAAGCTCATCTTCAGAATCTACCAGACAATTCACCCACAATCTCTGGACAAGCTGACTGGTGAAGGGCTTTTCTGGCCTAAGCCCAGTCTGTAAAGACTGAAAGAGGTGCCTACTTCTTCAAATGTGCAGACAATAATGCAAGGCCAGAAGAATTATGAATAATCAATGAAACATGCAAGGCCAGAAGAATTACCAATAATCAATGAAACATGACACCATCAAAGGAAACTAATAAAGCTCCAATTAATGACCCTAAAGAAATGAAGGTCTATGAACTACCTGACAAATTATTCAGAATAATCTTCATAAAGAAAGTCTGTGAACTACAAGAATACACAGATACACAATTAAACAAAATTAGTAAAACAATGCATGAACAAAATGAGAGGTTCAGCAAAAAACCAGAAACCATTAAAAACATATAAGTGAACAAACAGAAATCCTAGCATTGCAGAACACAGTGAATGAACTGATGAATTCAACAGAAAGCTTCAAAAGCAGACTCATCCAAGCAAAAGAATCAGTGAACTTGATGACAGTACCTTTGAAATTCTCCATTCAGAGAAGCAAAAAAAGAAAAAAGAATGAAAAAGAGTGAAGAAAGCCTATGTGAATTATGGGATACCATTGACAGTAAAATCTACTATTGTTGGAGTTCAAGGAGAATAGAGGAAGAAAAGGGCAGAAGGCTTATTTATAGATATTATGGCTGTCAATTTCCCAAATGTGGGGAGAGATTTGGACATCCAAGTTCCTGAAGCTCATAGGTGCCCCAAAAGTTTCGACACAAAAAGATCTTCTCTAAGACACATAATAATAAAACTACCTAAAATCAAAGACAAAGAATTTTAAATGCATCAAGAGAAAAAAATTCCCACATATAAAGGAACCTCCATAAGGCTATCAACAGATTCCTCAGCAGAAACCTTATAGGCCAGTAGAGAGTGGGATGATATATTCAAAGTGCTGAAACTGTCAACCGTGAATACTTAAGAACCTTACAAGTTGTCCTTCAGAAATGAAGGAGAGATAAGAACTTTCCAAGACCAAAACAAACAAACAAACAAAAAAGTTGTAGAGTTCTTCACCACTAGACCTGTCTTACAAGAAATGCTAAAGGGAGGTCTTTGAGTTGTAACAAAAGTATGCTGACAACATGAAAAGAATATGAAAGTATGAAACATAGTGAAGGTGAGAATACAGTCAAACTCAGAACACTCTAATACTGTAATGGTGGTAGATAAATCACTATTAACTCTGGTATAAAAGTAAAAGATAGGGACTTCCCTGGCGGTCCAGTGGTTAAAGACTTCACCTTCCAATGCAGAGGGTGTGGGTTCAATCTCTGGTTGGGGAGCTAAGATTCCACATGCCTTGTGGCCAAAAAACCAAAACATAAAACGGAAGCAATATTGTAACAAATTCAATAAAGACTTTAAAAATAGTCCACATTAAAAAAAAATCTTTAAAAAAAAGTAAAAGACATAAGTATTAAAAATAACTATAGGTAAAATAAAATAATGTGTCAATGGATACAACATATATAAAAGATGTAAACTGTGACATTAATAACATAAAATGTGAAAGAAGTTAAGTTAAAGTGTGGAGGTTTTGTATGTGGTTGAATTTAAGTTGTTATAAATGTAAAACAGACTGTTATATCTATAAGATGAATAATGTAAACTTCATGGTAACCACAAATAAAAAACCTGTAGTAGATATACAAACAATAAAGAGAAAGAAATCAAAGCATATCACTACAAAAGGTCATCAAATCACAAAGGAAGACAGCAAGAAAGGAAGAAAGGAAAATGAAGGAATTATAAAGCAGCCAGAAAACAATGAACAATATGGCAATATTAAATCCTTACCTATCAATAATTACTTTAAATGTAAAAGGATTAAATTATCCAATCAAAAGATACAATGTGGCTGAATGGATTAAAAAAATCAGATCCAGCAGTAATATGCTGCCTACAAGAGACTCATTTTAGATTTAAGGACACACATGCACTGAAAGTGAAGGGATGGAAAAACATATTCCATGCAAATGGTAACCAAAAGACAGCAGGAGTGATTATAATTAGACAAGATAGACTTTAAGTCAAAAATTGTCAGAAGTGACAAAGAAGGTTACTACATAATGATAAAGGGGTCAATTCATCAAGATGATATACAATTGTAAATATATAATGCACCCAAACTTAGATACTTCAGTGTACCTAAAAATATAGCAGATACTAGCAGAACTAATGGGAGAAATAGACATATACAATAAGAGTAGGTGACTTCAATATCCCAGTTTTAACAATGGATAGGTCATTCAGACAGAAATTCAATAAGGAAACAGCAGACCTAAACAACACCATAGTTCAAATAGACCTAGCAGACACATTCAGTACAGTCCATCCAATAGCAACAGAGTACATATTCTTTCAAAGTGCACATAGAACATTGTCCAGGATAGATCATATATTAGCCCACAAAATAACTCTTAACAAATTTAAGAAGCTTGAAATCATATCAAATGTCTTTTCTGACCACAATGATATAAAATGAGAAATCAATAATAGAAGGAAAATTGGAAAATTCATAAATATGTGGAAGTTAAATGACACACTTCTGACAAACCAACAGGTCAAAGAAAAAATCAAAAGGTGTATCAAAAAATATCTTGAGACTTTTAAAAATGGAAACACAACATACCATAATTTAAGAAATGCAGAACAGTTCTAAGACAGAAGTTAATAGTGATAAATGTCTACTTTAAGAAAAAAGAAAGATCTCAAATAAGCAACCTAATGTTACACCTCAAGAACAAACTCAACCTAAAGTTCACAGAAGGAATGAAATAATAAAATCAGAGCAGAAATAAATTAAATAGAAACTAGAAAAACAATAGAAAAGGTCACCTCTTCCTGGTGCCGGACCCCCCCGGCTGCGGGGCCTGACATGGGGCTCAGAATTCTCACTCCTGTGGGAGAATCTCTGTAATATAATTATTCTCCAGTCTGTGGGTCACCTACCTGGGGGGGATGGGGTTTGATTATATCACTAGTCCTCCCCTCCTACCAGTCTCACTGTGGTTCTTTATGTCTTTAGTCGTAGAGGATCTTTTCTGGTAGGTTTCAGTCTTTTTCAATGATGGTTGTTCTGTGGATTGTTGTGATTTGGGTGTGCTCTTGAGACGAGATGAGCTTAGGGTCCTTCTACTCCACCTTCTTCAAGAGAAGACCTTCCCACTGTTACCAAGTTTCTTAAAAATAGTTGTATTTCAGAGCAGCTGGGCATGAAGGAAATAACACTGCAGAGAGAAAAGGAGATCAGCCAAATTAATGACCAAGGCATCCATCTTCTCTTACCACTAGGAGCTGTTTTTTGTAAAGTAAACAAAATTAATGAACCTTTAGCTAGATTAAGAAACAAAGAGCAGAGACTCAAATAAATAAAATTATAAATGAAAGAGAGATGTTACAACTGATACCACAGAAATGCAAAGGATCATAAGATAGTACTATGAATATTTATATGCCCCCAAACTGGACAGTCTAGAAGAAATAAATAAATTCCTAGAAATATACAAACTACCAAGACTGAATCATGAATAAAGAATCTGAACAGACCAATAATGAGTAAGGAGACTGAATCAGTAACTGAAACCTCCCAAGATGGAAAAGCCTCGGACTTCATGACTTCACCAGTGAATTCTGCCAAATATTTAAAGAAGAATTAACGTGAATCCTTCTCAAACTCTTCCAAAAAATACAAGAGGAGGGAACACTTATAAGCACATTTTATGAGCCAGCGTAACCTTGATACCAAGGCCAGATAAGGACAGTACAACAAAAAGAAAGTTACAGACCAATATCACTGATGAACATAAATGCAAGAATCCTCAACAAAATACTAGCAAACCAAGTTCAACAGAACATTATAAGGATTATAAAGATCTTATACCATAATTAACTGTGATTTATCTCTGGGATGCAAGGATTGTTTGATATATGCAAATCAATAAATGTGATATACCACATTAAAAGAATGAAGGATAAAAATCATATGATCATCTCAATAGATCCAGAAAAAGTATTTGACAAAATTCAACACTATTACATGAAAAAAACCCTGAACAAATTAGGTACAGTAGTAATGTACCTAAACATAACAAAGGCCATATATGACAAGCTCACAGCTAGCATCATACTCAGTAGCGAAAAGCTGAATGCTTTTCCTCTCAGAACAAGAACAAGACAAGGATTTCCCACTCCCACAACTTTTATTCTATATAAAACTAAAAGTTCTAGCCAGATCAATTAGCAGAAAAAGAAATAAAAGCTCTCCAAAAAGGAAAAGGAGGAAGTAAAATTGTCTGTTTGCAATGATATTATACACATAAAACCTTAGACACCACCACCAAAAAACCCCCTAAAAAACTGTTAGAACTAATAAACAAATTAGGTAAAGGTACAGGATACAAAAAAATCAATATTAAAGGGCTTTCCTGGTGGCGCAGTGGTTGAGAGTCCGCCTGCCAATGCAGGGGACACGGGTTCGTGCCCCAGTCCGGGAAGATCCCAAATGCCGCGGAGCGGTTGGGCCCGTGAGCCATGGCTGCTGAGCCTGCGCGTCTGGAGCCTGTGCTCTGCAACAGGAGAGGCCACAACAGTGAGAGGCCCGTGTACCGCAAAAAAATAAAAATTAAAAAAAAAAATCAATATTAAAAAGTTGCGTTTCTATACACTAACAGTAAACTATCTGAAAAAAAAATTAAGAAAACGGTCTCACTTAACAATAGCATAAAAACTGCTCAGGAATACATTTAAACAAGTAGGAGAAAGGTCTGTACACTGAAAACTATAAAACATTGATGAAAGAAATTGAAGAAGATATAAATAAACGGAAAGGTATCCTGTGTTCATGCATTGGAAGAATATTATTAAAATTTCCATACTACCCAAATCAATCTAGAGATTCAATGCAATATCTATCAAAATTCCAGTGACATTTTTCACAGAAATAGAAAAAAGAGGCATAAAATTCATATGGAACTACAAAAGACCATGAATAACCAAAGCAATCTTGAGTAGAAAAACAAAGTTGGAGGCCTCACACTACCTTATTTCAACATATACTATAAAGCTATAGTTCAAACAGCATAGTACTGGCATAAAAACAGACATATAGACCAATGGAACAGAATAGAGAGTCCAGAAATAAATCCACAGGTTAATGATCAATCGATCTTCAACAAACGTGTTAAGAACACACAATGGGAAAAGGACAATCTCTTCTTTAGATAATTCGGGGAAAACTGATTTTCCATAAACAGAAGAATGAAATTGGACCCTTATTTCACTCCATATACAAAAATCCACTCAAAATTGATTAAAGACTTAAATCTAAGACCTGAAACCAAAAAACTGTAGATGAAAACATAGAGAAAAAGTTTCTTGACATTGGTCTGAGCAATGATTTTCGTATATGACCCCAAAAGCACATGCAGTAAAAGAAAACATAGATAAATGGGATTGCATTAAACTAAAAAGCTTCTGCACAGCAAAGAACAATCCACAAAATGAAAAGGCGACCTATGGAATGAGAGAAAATATTGGCAAACCATATCTAATAAGGAGTTAACATCTAAAACACATGCGGAACTCAAACTACTCAATAGCAAGAAAACAAATAAACTTATTTGAAAAATAAGCAAAGGACCTGGATAGATATTTCTCAAAAGAAGACACACAAATGGCCAACAGATATAGGAAAAAGTGTTTAACATCACTGATCATCAGGGAAATACAAATTAAAACCAAAATGAGGGCTTCCCTGGTGGCGCAGTGGTTGGAGTCCCCCTGCTGATGCAGGGGACACGGGTTCATGCCCCAGTCCGGGAGGATCCCACATGCCACGGAGCGGCTGGGCCCGTGAGCCGTGGCTGCTGAGCCTGCGCGTCCGGAGCCTGTGCTCCACAGCAGGCGAGGCCACAGTGGTGAGGGGCTTGCGTACCACAAAAAAAAAAA